CATCATAACTCCGTTATTCATCAAAATGACTATAGAAAATGTGAAAACTTTAAACATATATTCAAGTATAATGTAGGTGTCTCTAAGCCTCTATATAATATATAAAATGGATTTTGGTGTTGAATAGGTCGTAAATCTCAGTTCATTGATATGTGTTACCCAGGCAAATGAAATGTGTTTACAAGGGGAAATCCAGATGGTTTATTACGGAATTTGTTTGTGATTTTCCCACTAGACCAAATGTCAATGATCCATTGAAATTGCGTCTTACCCAATTTGGTAATTGAAGCTCCAAGCTTTCGTGAACACCTATTTACGGACACTGTCCCATACGGCGTCCATTATACGCTTTATTCGATGCTTGGTACTCGCTCGTTAAAATCCATAAATTATTGCTCTCATCGTAATCAAGCCCTGGTGCATACACTCAACACTAAATTTGCATTTTTCTGTGGACTTTTACTTTTGAAGCACGCCGATCAACAGTCTGGAACGGGAAAGGAAACTGCACGCCCTTTCAATATAATGTGGAACACATTCTCCCTAATAAGTACTGGTTGGTACTAGGTACGTTTTGCAAGCCGAATTGTTTGAACAATTTAGCAATAATACAAACATTGCACGGGCCCGTTAACATGAGGGTTGCACTCTACCGTTCCGTTTAGTACTGTGTTTATACACAGCGGGATTGTTTCCAGGAAATGCAAATAAATTTGGGTGAAAATGATTGCGAGGTGTGATGTGTGTTTCGTTTATGGCATCACCCCTAGCTGCTGGGAATTGATGTGGCTACAAGTCTAGATTTTTTTTTAAAAACAAGACCCCTAGATTGAATCAGGTATATCAGGTAGCAACACATGATTTTTGACTCTAAAAGGAATCCTCATTTGAAATTACGTTCATATTGTGGGAGTCGTATAATTTAAAATGTAAACAAATTTCAAGTTCATCTGTTCAGTTTGCTCCCGAATAGTCTACGCTTTTTGTTTTGTCATAGGATGATGATGCATTCGGTTTAACAGTGGTTGATGCGATGTACATACCGTAGCAGATTCACAATCAGCTAGCGTAGCGCTGTGTATAACACGGTATGATCTCGCATGCTATATTTAACCGATGAAATCAAATGGAACCACGCCGTTCTCTCAAGAAGACGCAATAAAAATACGACATTAATTGAGTCATATTTCTGGTGGTTTTGTTTTCAGCAGCTCGTACACACAAATGAACGCGCCCAGTTGGTTGGTAGGCTGATGAATGGACGGATTGCCCGGAATTAAGTGCTGAGCGTGTGCCTCTTGGGGGAAGCGCGAATCGGTGATGTGTTATTTAGAAAGGAATTTGCTGGAAGAATTTCGTTGGTGACGATTGTTTACCTACAGCCTACATCTTTTCCTCCAAAGTAATGAATGGCCTCTTCATTAGGAAAATAAATATTGTCCTACTATTCGTGAAATGGATTGGTGAATGAATCGTTTTGTGTTGCGTAACATTTAAATGCCTATGTAACCAAAATAGTGTGTATTCTAAATTCTTGCCTTTAAACCGAATACGAAGGCCACGTGCTTTGGTTTAGTTGTTTGTAGAGAAAATTTATAAATAATGTTTTTTAACAATTCGCTCTCTAATGAAATTTCAATACCATCAACGATTTTATAAAAATACATACAGAGAGTACCGTGCTGTTTACCTATTTGAAGTGGAACTATTTTGTTGTTAAAATTAAACTACTGAACTTCAAGTATAATGCAACACACAACATCACAAATAATTTGCCCACAAGTATATGAAGGGTCAAATTGTCTCACTCTATTGGGGGTAACATAGTAGCGTAAAAGAGGCAATGTATCACGTGGTCACTGTTTTAATCAACGACCGTATTTCATTTAATCATTACATTTTATTTCAAGTTACAAGTCTGTGCAGTCTGACCTAGAGAATAATATGCAACTAGCCCATATAGCTCATTTCCCATAGGAGATGTTTATTTTCTTGAAGAAATCGATAAAAGTGAATCGATTTGATAGTTTTATTGAAGAGATGGCTATTGTTGCATCATCAACAATTGCTCTTGAAGTCCTGTCAGTGCTCGTCATTAATTATAATTGCGCTATTTATTGCCCTTTCAGAGAGCGGAACAGAAAGCAACTCAATGTCTAGAGTTAACCAACAGCGTTGATAGGAGTTGTTTGATTCATATTTTTATGGGAAACTATGTATTACAGTGTATATTTGTTTGTTGATGATGGTCTCATTTTGATTACTATTTTATTTAAATCCAATCAATGTTCACTTTGTTAAGCTGATACGTAGTGCTACGGTATAACTAATAAATTACTAGTTATTTATTGATAATCACATTAGAATTATTAATTCACAATTGCGGAATTACAAAACGTCCTTTCTGCAAAAAAAAAATCAAAATTTGATGTAATTCCTGAATTTCTGAGCTGCAGTATAAATAACAAAAGACTCTTTGAGCAAAAACTTCCCAACAGGTTTGAACAGCTGGCACACTTGTTGCTGGTGTATACTCAATGCTGTGCATTTTTCTGCATCTAAAAGTACAGGCCATTCTCGTTGGGTGGAAGAAGAAATGCAATTGGAATTCAAAATAAAAACAGAACAAACGCGAATGTTACTGCTGGCCTGGTTAAAAATATTTTTACACTCAGGAAACTAGACGCCTGATATCGGCGTTGAGTCAGAGGGGACTTAGTAGCAAAATAATAAAAAAAAAAATGAAAACGGGTCAAGAATATCCTCAGCTACATTTCACTTTTGTAAGATTTGGTAACTGTTGCACACGTCAAGAGAAACAGCCAAACGGATTGTCCCATTACTTAAGAAACAATGCTACTAGGCAAACTTTTAATTCGTTTTCCTCCAAAACAATTTTTTTTCATCTAGTCCGGTCTTACTTAACACCGATCATTTGATAAGTGTTATGAAGCAAGATGCACGAATTCATATGAAAATCGCTGAATTAATGCGTCGAAATGTAACTACAGTCAAATCTCCACAACTCAATGTGTACTAATTCGATAGGACCATAGTTAATAATTGATTTTATGGCTACTATGACGGAGATTTCCTATAGGACTGTTCTTCTACTCGATAATTCTATAACTCGATGGCCCCTAATATGTCTTAAAAGACAGTAGAGAAACTGGCGGTGAAATTATCGAAATTCTGTAAATGTAAATAATTGAGGGGGTAGAAGACGCATCGATTGAAAGACATGTACGCTTAATATTTTGATGAAAAAGGACTTAAAATCATTAAGTGATCATCATACAATGTTAATTTTAATCAACACATTTTCTCCCAGACTCTGGCAGCAACTTCAATGATGCGCTGATGCTATCCCAGAATTTTAAGAATATATCAGTGCCAACATTTCATTAGGGTGAAACTGCTCACTCCTGCAAATTAACGATACCAGCTGAATTTTTCGTATAGCATGCAACAATTTTGTGAACCAATATTTCCGTACACACATTTTTAACATAGGACATGCTAAGCTTTATATTAGATGCATATTAGCCTTATATTGCAAAAAAGCGAATTAGCGGGCTTGTTGGTTACTTGGGATGCCGTGGTCATGGGTTCAACGAAGAGGCATTTAATGTTTGTGTACATATTATTGTATTTAGTACACAATTGTATTCTATTGTATTCTCTTCAAAAGTGCAGAATCGCTAATAAAAGTGCGCTTTTACGTTGAATCGTTTTGGTGTCTTCTGCGATTCCTTATGAACCAAGGAATAAGTGCGCCGAAGACACCGACATAATTTAATGTAAAAGCGCACTATTATAAGCATTTCCGCACCTATGATCGCACTTATAATGTGCGCACTCTACTGTGTTGCCTGACTTATAACGAATATACGTTGTATACGAGTACCCCAAATACAACGTATAATTCGTCTAATTTTACATTGTAAATGCTATGCAAAATTAGACGAGTTTGGTATTCGGAGTACTCGTATACAACGTATATTCGTTATAAACCAGGTAACACAGTAGTAGCATTTATTAGTGACTGTATCCATAACTACTTTCTATTTGTGCACATATTATAAAGTTTATTAGGGAAGATGCATAAATGACGTAGCACTTTAGGGTGACCAGCAATGTACAAAAATACGCTACAAGCGCAAGGGGGACCAAAGCTGGTGCTTCATAAAACGTAAACAAACGTTAAACGTTTGTCTAAAAACTTAGCTTATTTTACCGAAATCTGTGAAATTTTACCGAAATCTCGACAGCTGAACGTTCGGTTAACAGTTCGGTGATTTTTCACAGATTTCCTATAATTTTTCACAGATATTCGGTGAAAAATTACAGGAAATCTGTGAAAAATCACCGAACTGTTTACCGAACGTTCAGCTGTCGAGATTTCGGTGAAATAATCTTAGTGTGTACGTTTGATGAAGCACCAACTTTGGACCCCTCCTCATTGTAGCGTATTTTTCTACATGGTTGATTACCTTAAAATGCTACATCATTTATGCATTTTCCATTATAAGTTTTAAATTAAAAGAGTAATCACGGGCTGAAAATTTGCATGTCACATCACTTGGAAGAGGTTGGTCCCCGGTTCATGAGTTGGTAGGTCGATAGGTAGGGTCCAGGTGTGGGAGTTGCCTCCCTGGCGTCGGTAGCATTGGTGCTCAGCACGGAAAACAAGATCGACGGAAAACAAATCAAGGAAAAAAAAATCACTTGGAATTGGTCTCATTAACTATAACTGAGTTACAAATCTGGCTGTTGTATTTTAATTATCAGTCCTGATTTTCAAAATGCCAATACGATCATTCAGAAAAGCCAAATCAATCTTTGTAGCCTTGGGTTACCATTTACATACGGTGGTGAAAAAGATGACGATGATGATGAATGTTTTCTGCCATTAAGTTTCGTAATATACAACAGCAAATGACCACCGCAGTAGACATTGATTAACATGTTGCATTTTTTTCTTTCTCTACTCCCCATAGGTGTCCGTCCGGCATGGTCCTCAAGAGAATGAATCTCTACCACATGATAACAGTTGCGCTGCTGGTGACGCTGGGTGTGATTCTACAGCTAAGCACGACAGAAGCGTGCAGTTGTCTGCCAGAGCACGCACAGTCAGCCTACTGTGATGCGGAATATGGTAAGCACTTTAAAGTCGATGCTCGTATGATGCAATACTTTGGGACCTCGTTTGGGACCATGCGTAAATAATGCAGAATATATTCATTAATTTTAGATCTGCCTCGTAGCGTCAATATAAGGTATAGGTATAGGAACACTACGAAGGGGACCTAAAATTGGTGGTTCAGAAGTTGTGACCGGGCATGTATTAGGTACAGTAAAATACTCTACAAGGGGGAAGCGGGGTGGGGGTTGTTTAAAATTGTTCCTAAACATGCTGCTTCATTTATGGATTGTCCCACATGAATAAATGTTCCAGAATATGTCCGATTTTTATAATTGTTCGATTCATAACTTTCGATTTGTTTGCTATACTATAACTTTTCCACCACTGAGTGTGCAAGACATGTTCGAAACGGTGATTGATGTTAATTACGGCCAATCAGTTGATTACTTGGCATGATATAAACGAATAATCGTATGACGAGATGAACTAACCAACGAGCTAAAAATCTCGCTAATAAAATATGAAAAAAAAGAAAAAAAAAAAAGATTGTTCGAATAAAAATCGGACATCACTACACGGTAGTTTATCTCCTTTTCTCCTTCTAATGTTGTCAAAAACGGAGGAGCAAAACCACCCAACAGGGGTAGTAGTGTGGGAACCCACACTAATAAAATTTCAAAGATTGTTTTTATGTGTCCCACACATGAATTTTTGCAATGTGAACAACAAATGATATCTACACGCAGAGAAATGGTTTTTAAATTCAAATGGATATATTTTTGACTCAGGGCCTAATATATTTGTGATATTGTTTCAAATATGTTATTCGGTTAATTCAACGAAAAATATTTTTGAATCAACAAACCGGTTGTAGAGTCAATAATCTGCTTGTTGATTCTAAAAACTATTTTGTTGATTCAAAAATATGTTTTGTTGAAATAGTGATACAATATTTTTGAATCAATAACAAAATACATTAGGCCCTGAAACAAAAATCAATTTTTCTGCGTGTATGTGTCTGACACATACTTAATATGTGTACACATAAAAGCCATGTGTAACCACACATATTACTCATTTGACTCATAAATTTCAGGTGTGCTTCTAAGTGGATTCTGTTTATGTGTGGTCATATGAAATTCATGTGAAATTTGACATGGAAATTCGTCAATAAAAATGTGTGGAATTTTATCAGTGCAACGTTGAGTATAATTATATTTACCTACTTTTGGGTACAACTAACTTACTTTTGGGTAGAAAGCTAGTGGAAAATTCCGTACGAATTGCACACAAGCAAATGAAAACTACTTTGACGCGCTTTATCTACTTTTGGGTTCCTGCAATATAATGCCGTGATGAGTGAAAATAGCTAACATTTGGATACTTTTTTCTTACCGTTTAGAGAATGTGAAACGTCATTTTGACATACAACGACAGTGTGAAATATAAGGGCACTACCATTTATAATGAGCCAATTTGAAAGAAACCAGTGCAGTGATAAAAATATGAGTGCTGCCGGTTGATTGTATTGCGTATTAATATTGACTGTATTCGGATAGGGTACACATCAAGGGGTAAGTCACTCAGCACATTGTGTCGCAATTCTATTCGGCACAGCTTGGACACATTCTTTCCCCCCCCCCCTCGGCACACTCTCGTAGGCATTTGAATGTTGTAAATAAAATGGAATCACTGCTGGTCACTGAAGTTCACAACATTACGTGCTTTTTGGCTGTATACTCAGGAACATCCTCTAATTAAATATACCAGAGGAACTCAGACCAGCAGTTCACTTCTCGGTTCAGTTATAGATTTAAAACCGAAGTGCCGCTAGACTGATTCATCCTTGCGATTTCAAACCAAAACATTTAAGGTTTCAGAAATACCGAGCTTGCTCCATGACGGGTACAATCGGCACACTGAAAAAAAAAATATGACCCAAGATTGGTGTGTGGAGTGACCTACCCCTTGGTACACACCTAGATTTTTTTTTGTCGAGGGAACCACCGAGCAGCTCGGTAACCTATTTCGCTGGATCTCAGTGAAAAATTTGCCGAGATTCAGTTAACAAACGGAAATTTTGCCGAGATATCGGCTAACACACATACATTTTGCTGAGATCTTAGTAAAAATAAATACCGAGCCCGGTGGTGCCAATGTCGGCAAAAAATCTAAGTCTGTACCTATTCAGACTTATGTACACAGAACTCCCGCTAATGGATTTTGAACCATTATTTGAATTCATATGAGTTAATAAGGTCAGACCCCTATTATACCTATTCTTAAATTACTTAAGGACATATTTTTATTCTTTAAGTCAATTATTCTATAACTCGATGGTCTCTCCAATATCGAGTTATGAGGAAGTAGGCTGTTTTTTTTCTGCTCGGTAGGCCATAAATAGGCGCTTAGGCTGAAGTGTAGGCTGAAATACTTCTTGCCTCTATTTTCTTGAAGAATAGTAAATTTCAATCAGAATATTTCCATATACAGTTTTTACATATTTTTACGATCTAACCAGTTTCCTAGCAAATATTTAGTTTTAGTTTTTAGGTTATCCAAACGTTCGTTATAATAAAGCAAAAGTTACATACGTTATATCGAGGTTCTCTTTGTACCAAAGTATGAGGATTCTATTGTATGCAAATTTCCTCGCAATTAGGTTCTTTAAGCGTATTGAGGAAAATGCATAATCATAATCTGCATTAAAAATGGAACCCAAACCCAAAATTTCATCAATTTTGGTACACTGGAACTATTTTAAATAAGCACGATTACATTTGCAAAAATCGCCTTACACAGAAAAAAAAAAGTTGTTGAATATTGCATCCAAACAGCTGCACAGAGATCATTCCGACGTGTAATATTACGTTGGACGATGTACATCGATTTTGCGAACAAAATTACGTCCATTGATGTAATATTGTATCTGCTTTTTGCTATTACATCATTATTTCATACATCTTGTTGAATTACGTTGATCGATATTACGTTTTTTTTTGCTGTGTATTAGCGCCCCTCTGTGTCACTTTGTATGGGAGCGAGCTGTCAGTTTGTTAGTTTAGTGTCAAACAGTGAAGTTATTATTTTGCTTTAAATCTTGATTACAAAATCGAGATGAAAGCACAAACGAAGTGACAGACGGAGCGGCTCGAAAACTTTGGTGACTAACCTGCTATTGCAATTTTTCAGTGTACCACATGGCAACACCACTACTACTGGATTGTACCACATGTACACTACTACCACAAACGAAGTGACAGACGACTAACTGGCGAAGAAATCCATTAAAATAATGTGGTTCACTGTAATAGAATTTTCTTGGAAGCTTGTGCCATCATCCACCAGATGGGTTAGTTTTTTTTTGTTTTGATTTGAACAAAGTTGATTTTGTGTACAATGATTCTTTGACAGTGTGTCATTTTTTTATGCAATTCAGTTTTGAGTAGAGTGAAAGAGATAGAACCAAAACATTCTAATACATTTGGTGAAAATGCTAGTACAATCCAGTAGTAGTGTTGCCATGTGGTACACTGATTTTTTTTTTTTTTTTTTTTTCCTTTGGTTTGTTTTTTCCGTCGATCTTGTTTTCCGTGCTGAGCACCAATGCTACCGACGTGCCAGGAAGGCAGCTCCCACACCTGGACCCTACCTATCGACCCAACAACTCATGAACCGGGGACCAACGGCTTTACTTCCCATCCGAAGGAAGGCGTGATCAGAGATGTTATGCCTCAGAACATCCCGGCGGCGCCGACTGGGATTGAACCCAGGCCTGCTGGGGTGAGAGGTAATCACGCTTACCACTACACCACCGGCGCCGTTCACTGAAAAATTGAAATAGCAGGTTAGTCACCAAAGTTTTCGAGCCGCTCCGTCTGTCACTCACATCTATGACACAAATGTCATTCCCATATACTTTGTGTGAAGCCGAAAAATTCTGGTTCTCTGGTTCGATTTTACGTCAACATTTGACAGCTGCTGCAAATATTCGCAAGCAAGCTCTGTTCATGCGTTCATTGTTAGGAAAGTTTGTCGCGAGTGGCGGGAAGAATTTTTTTTAAATCTTTGTTGTGTCATAAGCCCTGTTTAAGTTGCCTAAAAGTGTATCAATGTATCAATGTATTAATTTATCTTATAATAATGTTTATTTTTCATTCAAAACTTTTAACGCGATATATCCATGCGGTATACATGAATGTAGCTTAAAAACGTGTTGTCAACACTAACACCACAACCATCGGTGGTGGCTTCAGCGAGTACTAGTCTTCTAATATGGACCAACAGGTCTGTGCCATAAAAAGGGAGTACTAGTCTTGCCAGGGATGTGCTGTCACTTCGTTTGTACCAATGAGATACAGAGAGAGGTGGCGCAGATCGTGAAATAGGGTTGTATTAGTAAACCAAAAAATCAACGTAAACGCAAGTAGTGACGTCACTACTTGCGTGTACTTGCGTGTATCGTACAGTGGTTGTGTGAGTGATTGCTTCACCTCGGTAATCCAGCTCATTGCGTTTGTACTACTACTGGATTGAACTAGCATTTTCACCAAATGTACTAGAAACGATTCAAAACGATATATTTTCAAAATTAAAGAACCCAATTGTCTGGCATTTTCGATTGCTTCTTTTTTTCGTTCTAATGAACAATCCCAACTAGGGTTCATCCAGTATTTTCGCTGTTGTTCGTATTTTTGTTTAAAAATCAAATTTAAAACGCCTTAAACATCAAAATGTGGTTTAACGTTACTGAGAGTGATATGTCCATTGGATCTATTTTGCGTCGAATCCCGGAACAAACGGACTCCAATACCTACCCAAATTCTTATGGGAACGATATCTGCAATGAGTTTAGGCGCGTTTTGTTTCCAACAGAACATAAATTATCACTGAGATATCTTTTTATTTCGTATGTCTTTCGTTCGATAGTAAATAACCTGTCGAGTTAGGCAGTACAGAAAATCAAGAGAACAAAAACTGTTCCTGGTTGGGAGAATATCGCGTTATGAAGAGAGAGAGAGAAAGACAGAGATAAATGGAGTAAGGGTGAGTTGACTATAAATTTGTATCCGATAATGATGAGTAATACGCACAAAGACAAAATTCTAAGTTATTAGTATGGTTAAAACACGTTATTCACGTTACAATGTTTATATTTTTAATGATATAAATTCATATTCTACTTATTGTCTACTATTTATATGCTTTACTGTTTATGATTGACTTGATAGTGATCCGGACACGACAAGACATTGTCATCATAAGTCTTCTTGTGGGGGAAAGCTCGTACATTCACTATTGAATTAGAAATTGCTGACAATTTCTCCAGGATCAGTTCAAAATATGGGTTCGTTATATTAAGAAAATGTATGGTATTAGAAATTTAACGAATTTTGGAGAGAAGCTGACGAGTGACTTAAGAAGTGTAGAAGCATTCAAAAAGATGTGTTTCGAAGGAGAGAATTAATCTGCTGATCAAATCTCTAACGCTGATGAATCAGGGCTTTTTTTCAATATGCTTCAGAGTCACACTTTGGTTCGCAGCGCTGAGTCTGCCACCTCTGGATGTAAAGTTTCCAAAGAACGAGTAAGGTCCTCTTTCGTTAAATATAGATGTACTTGCTATGTCACATGACAATTACCTCCGATTTTTTAGAAAAAAAAAAAATACTTCCGCGTCCCCTTGCATCTAACTTCAAAGCATAGATCAACATATGATCCAGGCGAGCAAAACAAAGTACATTAAATGTGATGTACTTTGTTTTGCTTGTGTAAAACAAAGTACATTAAATATATCGCTAAATTTTAGTGAAAAGCTGTACAAGTTAATCGCTTATGGACATGGTTCTCGTGATGAACGAGGATAATCAACCTTTAACGGTGCCTATAAAGCGGAAAATGCACACACGTCATGGCGGATAATCACAGGTGGGATGGAACTCACGGTCCGCTAGTATTAGCCGTTAATATTGCCAAAAAAAAAGTTTACGGATGGAAGGTACCTATATATTCTGGTCACAAATGCCTTGCCTAATCGATTTCCTACGCAAGTGATGGGAATTTCGCGAATAAACAGGAGTGTTAATTATAGCAAAACACATTCGTCTTAGTTCATTTTAGTAAACAAACTAACACTTCTTCCTTCTGCGGAACCTTTGATTATCACCTTGGACACACGTGATTTGAATTCTAACAGGAATTTCATGGACAGGATGTGTGTGTGGATGCTTACTACGATGCTGACATCATCAGTTTTGTCACAGGAGCGATCGATAACGGCGACAAAATAGATTCCATACAAATCCAGAAACTTACTCGCACTTTCATACCGGTGGGGTGGGCGCGGGGTGTGTGTTTGTCGAGGGTTTCTTGTAAACTCTTTCTAGATTACTCGTAGAATAATTTACGTCGTGTTCACATCACCATATCACATAACGACGGCTGATTCCCCGAATAGGTGGTTAGGCTCTTCTTTTGATTATTTTTTATGCGGAACCGCAAAACTTGGCAATATTGTATTACAAGTATCCCGTTCAGAAGATGTTGCGTTATTTTTAAATGAAAAATGCATTTTAAAAAAAGTGCTAGAACAAATTTAACTTGATAATTTAATTTTTTTTTTCAATAGTTGAAATGCTGAAACAACAAGAATAGATTTGGATGAAAATAATGATTACACATACAAGCTTAAATCAATTGAACTATTTTAGGCTGTATTTGACGAAAAGTTGTGGATCACCTGTGAGGAAGGAAAGGGTTAACAAGCTCGTTTTTTGCCATTTGTAGCTCAAAATACAAGGTGTACATTTAAGCAACAATTCATTTTTTTTGCGTAGGGTATGTGCTCTACCTACGTCAATCTGTTTCTATTGTGTTGTGTTTCTATTGCTATTTATGGGATTTACATTTTAGGATTGCACCATTACTGGAACACCTAGTCGCAACAGGTGTAAATTTAAGTTAAATTTATTGACTAAGTCATAAATTACTTGCTTATAAGTTTGTTATATTTCAACAATCGTCTTTTTTTTTTTGTTTCAGTCATTGTGGCGCAGGTTCTTAGAAAGTCTAACCGAAAGCATGACGGTAATAACGTTTACAAGATCGCCATAAAAAAGGAGTATAAGGTACATAATGAGGAACATTACCCCAATAGATGGTGCGCATAGCGCTTACGATAAAAGCTTTCAATATATTTTTCTCTTTCCTCCACAGATGTCTCTGCGAGCCCAAAAGCTACTCAAGCAAGGAAAGCTCATAACGCCACCGACGGATTCCATGTGTGGACTGCAGCTTGAAGTCAACCAACTGTATGCGATCGCCGCGCGAGATATTCACGTTGGGCTGTGCAGCTTTGTGCGCAAATACTCGGATCTGAAGATTGTAGAAAAGCGTGGTTTGGCTGGCATCTACCGCAAGGGTTGCCCGTGCAAGATCAAGCATTGTCATACTGGCAGTTGTAATGTATCGATCGGTGCATGTAATTGGGACCCATGGGCTACCTGTGAGTCTGATTATGGATCGTGCGTTCCAACCCGGGGACATCTGATCGACGGAGCTCCAGCCAAATGTCACTGGCGCCCATCACCGATGTATCGAAAGTGTAAAGCAAACACTCGAGAATGAACGAACGACTAGCAACGACTAGGGTGTCAGTTATTCTGTGCTGTAATTATTTTCATGCTATTTGTATTCACTCCTCTACCAGCCATAAAGACTATTATGGGTATCGAATCGCTGTTTTGTAAAATTACTATTTTATAAACATTAATAATATTTATTGTCAAGAAGCATATACTATTTATTTTAAAAATGTAAACGGCTAATGATTTATTTCCCAAACCTCATGTGCATATTTATTATTTTTTATATGAAAAGTAATGTATGAAGCTCCTGTGTACTTTCAGAAACTATGATGTTTTAGTACAAATAACGTTAGTGTTTAAGAGTTGCATAATTTTTGAAGGAAAAAAAAACAATTGAAGTAATAAATAAAATAGATCTGTCAAGCAAAATACCAATTTCTTCAAGGATATCCGATGCCCAACCTAAACAAAAAATATACCAAATAATACTCACCATATCACGAGGGTTCGGGAAGAAGGTCTGCTCTACCAGCGGGAATGTATCCTTTCCGAGGCGACGCTGGAGCTGTAGCAGGTGTGCAAATACCCATGGTTTGTCCTGTGTGCATGTGGAAGTTGTAAAAGGGATAAATTAATTTGCTGAGGTGATGATTTGCAATGCTAAATTATGCTCAAAAGGAAAAATAGTCCAACAAGATTTACAGTTCAGTCGGTTGTTTATTATCGTAGCACAAAGCTTCTTGTATTTTGGTTTTGTTCATTTAGCAAAGCTTTTCTAATATTGTTTTGTATATCGTTATCGAATGGGGATGTGCTGGGTACGTTTATTGGAGATGTGAAGCGGAGCGTGCGCTGCGGTAATTTAAAATCCTGAGGCTACCAAGCAAAAGCCAAACATTCATAGCACTTGGACAATTGTTCGGTTGCTTTAGACTTTTAAACTAATTTCGGGTTGCTTCCTAATAACCATGTCTGTGTGATGCAGGAAAATAAATGGATTCTAAAATTTATACCAATCGTTGCTCACCTGGAATTGGTATAACGAATGCAGTGAATTAATACTGGGTACACCGCCGTATTTCAATCCAAGCAGCGTTGATCGATAGTCCTTAGCTCCATCCCGAGGTGCCTGGCGAACGAGGATAAAATCCGGGCGATAGGATTTTGGCTGTTTAGAGCTGCCGCGATTGAATGCCACCAGAGGACCGGCGTCAGCGTTGGCCGTTAGAGAAATTTCTCGGAATTCCGCTTGCTCTACCCGTATATCGTAGTCTCCGTGAAGGCGCTTGCCACGGAAATACTTTGACCAGTCGGTATTTTGATCATCTAGCACTAACAGTGTGAAGCATTTGTCTTTGTTGAATGGTTGAACACGGGCTGCGGTGGAAACGGCCGCTCCTGCGAAGCATAATGAAGACAACAAGAAATGCGGTTTAGATTATGAAAGTACCGTGGAAGCACCATATTTGACGCGGGTCCAAACTTGACGCACTTTCCAATCAATTCGATCATAACTCCTGTTTCGGTTTGAATTGCACCGAAATTGTAATTTTCTGTCCTTTGTTTACACTCATGCCACCCATTCATAACAAAAAACATACTTTGTTTATTGCTAATAAGAGCAATCAAAATCAAAACGAAAAAGCCATCTGTCAAATGCGTCATTTTTTTCTCATCGTAGCAACAACGCTAAGGAGCAAGTTTAATGTTTATTGTTAGTTTTCACGTAGAAAATCAGTTTTTGTGTAATAATACGTTACTAACTATTAAACTGTAAGTATTTTTTACGTTTAACAGCTGATTCAGCAATATATAGTATGTTTAGAGCACATTATTTAACGAAAATGTTTTGCGTCAATTTAGGCTCACAGTGGCCCTTATTATTTTCTATGTGAAACATGGAGCCCAAACCAAATTCACGTAGACGAGCTAATCCTATTGCTGTCGCTACAAGCGACGAGTATAGAGCGTGGTTTGAAAGGATGGAAGCAGACAAACAGAAGGAAGAACAAATTCGAGCGGAGAAAAAGGCAGCCAGAGAAGCGAAGAAATTGGCCGCAGCAAAACGTCTTGAAAATAAACCTAAATCTGCTCCAAAGAAGATGAAATTGATTGTTTGATCTTTAATGATTTGTATATTTACCATATTTCATCAACCATTCAATAAACACTTGTTTTTTGTTGAAATTAAGCTATTTTTTTAAGTGCGTCAAATAAAGAACACCTTGCGTCAAATAAGGCACATTACAGATTCTATGCGTCAAGTTAGGAACCCAAAGTACCAAACAGAAATTAATTATAACATCAAGAAATTAACAGATATTTACGTTTTATTTATTTTTCCTACATTCTGTATTTACTGAACTATTACTGTGTAAAATATTGATTGAATTGGTAAGACTCTCATTTTTTAGAACATGTTTGAATTTGAAATTGTCTTAACTGCGTCAAGTATGGTGCTTCCACGGTAGGCGTTTTGCTCTTCAAAAATCAACACCTTTCCTTTTTCAAGCTCCCACCCTTAAATTTCACTTGCACTATTTTCCTCAGTATCGATGGGAAGCGTTGTGCTACCCCCGATACATTTAGCATGTACCGTGGAGGTACCATATTTCACGTAGGTCCAAACTTGACGGACTTTTGTATTGAACCCGCACTCAGATAAGTATTTCACGAAAGATCAACCACTAGTATTTTATTAACACTCAACCTTTACATTCGTTACGAAAAACTGTTTGTGGATAGCTTTTTGTTTTGCCAATATATGAGCGAAAAATCTGTCAAGCGTCTAAGTCAACATTTCCCCGTAACGTGGGTAGATCACCTTTTCGTGGTACGTTACGGGATGTAAGATCTACCACCGATTCCTAGTCCTGACTTCTTCAAACTAGGGGAACAAGTTTTTTTTTCAGTAATCAAAGGAACACATCTTAGTCCTTGTTACTTTTTATGCCTTGTTGATAGTGATAAGTCCTCGGGTTGCCTGGACCGAGCATGATATTGAAACAAGGAAAAAATGAGTTAGTATTCATCTATGTATGTGATTCCTAATCTTCTATTCGTTGTTCCCTAGTTTGAAGTGGTTAAGACTAGGGTTCTGATGCATGGTCATTATTGGTTTCAGAGCTTGTTTTTGTTGTTAAGGAATCCAATTTTGACTGACAAAGGGGCGCGCCTTTGGAGGGTGTTTCAACACTCCGAAGGGTATAAATAGCGGAACCTTTCAGTTAGAATCGATTCCATGCGATGAAGGCAAGATTGACAACTGTATCAAAACCGAATACTTCATCATTTCTTAATAGTGATGGAGTAAAACGACATGCACTAAACTAAGGACACGGGATATACTACAATAGATCAAATTACTGTTCACAGTGGTGTTATGTCCCGAACAGAGGAAAAAAAAAAGTCAACATTCGTCTGTTATAACAAAGAAGCTTAAAGTTGGTTTATCAGATTTTATCGGGTTTCGTGTTAAAATCAATTATTAATAGTAAATTGTCTTTAACTCGAACAACATAAGCTTCAACGGTGTTCCGGTACTATTAATGTAATTTTATCATGATTTTGCAAGGTTATATGATGTTTGTGTCAAATTAGGCTCATAGTGTTCCCAATTATTTTTTGTCCAAAACGAAGAAGCCGAAAGGAAGGAAAAAATAACAGGAATTCGATTAGAAATTGCATTAGCTGTATGGGAACCGTTGTTTATCATGTTACAATTCCTAAAAGATATTTTATTTCTTCGGACAGTCGGGCAAGCCTATCCCATTTACTGAAAGGTCAAATAGAAACTAAATCGGTGATGACCCTATGCCCCCACATCGAAATCTCTAGACGTGTACTGATTCATCTTTCTTTACAATACATTACTATTTTGAAGAATCAACTAAGAACTGATTTGATTAAATAGTTCTTTCATGGCTATGGCTGTTCCGGAAAGGCCAAACTCATTAATTAAGGATTATAATGCAGCTGGAGTACGTGCTCGGCAATGAAATCTTCAACAATCCATCATTATTGATTGAGTTTATTTGAATATTTATAGTGCGTCAAATAAGGTTATTGTTGTTAACGAAATATAAGAAAACACGACGTACGATAGCGAAATTTTTTTTCCCAACATTTTTAGCAATTTCGTCAAGTTTTATATGCTTCTCTTATTCTTTGACATTTCAAATAGCGGGACGCTAAATTAAAAAAAAAATAATCATGAGATGTTGTAGCTTTTATTAAGAGCCATTGAATGGAAGATTTAAATTATTGAAACAATGGGTCACATCATTCGAGTAGTTTAAAATTACGTTTTTAATCACTTCAACTTTGCCGTAGACAAATATTTAGGTAAAACTGTTTTTTTTTTTAAATATTTTATTAATGACATTACATCTTCAAACAGATCGGTTACAGATAAAAGAAATCCGACACGAATGCCATGCTTCTGGTTCGTCGTTTGCTTGCTTATTGCATTACATCTTTTGTTTTCACTTCTTCTTCTCTATCCATTCCACCTTTAATTCTTCTATCTTTTCATCATCTTCTTTCTTCATCATTTTCGTTTTCTCCAGGATGTATGATGGAACCAGTCTTATAAGCGGTCACCGTAGTCGTCACATTTTCTGTGATAATCGACTGCCTTTACTTCTGACACTTTCAAAACAAGCTATCAAATTACAGTACCAATTTAAGATGTCATATGACAGGCTCTGTCATACGACACTGTCGCTGAAGACCGTCACGAATGGATGTATTTTAGTTTTTCTCATAATAAACTGCTGATGTTGTGCTTGTGTGAATTCTGAAAATAGCAAGCAACGATGTCCTAGTAATAACATTTCTGATCATAAATGGTTTAATTTTCACCAAGTTGACGAATTAGAACGAAATCACACAGTTATTTGTTAATTTTCTTTTTGCGTGAATGTTTGCGTTGTATGAGAGAGACGACGGTAATGGGGTGTTTAAACTTATGCTATTTCACTAGCGCTAATGAGCTAACTGTTAGCAAAAAAGCTCACTAGCACAATATAAACATGGCATCAGCGTCTACCAGCATGGAATTTCAGGAGCAATTGAAATTCGTGCTAGTTGGCGAGTACACTAGCACGAGTAAATCGAGTAAATCCGCACAGATGTAAACACCCCATAAAGCATGAGAGTACGAATACAAACAGACTGTCACGCACGACAACGAAACGAGTGTAGTAAAAAACGTCAACAGTTAACCCCTGGATGGGACTTTGGAGAATTTGGCTTCGGAATTGGCACTGCAGTCGAAATTCGCGGGTTGGGCTTTTAATATTTGGGCTGCTTTTTAGTGGGGCCTCTGCTGGTTGGGCCATGACCCAATTAAAAAGCAACTGGATGTCAAAATTTCATGTCAAATTTAATCTGATAGTCAAACATAAACTTTATCAAAGGATGAGCAAACGCATTTTTGACTGCGCATTATATGTAAGGAATGTAAACATTTGGTATTTCAAGCTGAACATTGAATTAGGTCCAAAGTAATATTAATCGATTCTCCTCGTCGGCTTTCTCTTTCGTTGATAACTTGAGCACATAACCGTTTCTTGGTGTGTTTTTCATATTAGATGCCAGATAAAAGCTTCTTCTATCGATCTTTGCACTGAAAATCCCTGGGAATATCTTTACATGGTCGTGGGGATACAAAAAAAGTCGATGAAGAGAATCTGTCAATGTTACTTTTTTTTTTTCCTTGATTAGTTTTCCGACGATCTTATTTTCCGTGCTGAGCACCAATGCTACCGACGCCAGGGAGGCAGCTCTTACACCTGGACCCTACCTATCGACCCATCAACTCATGAACCGGAGACCAAAGGCTTTACTTCCCTTCCGAAGGAAGGCATGATCAGAGATATTATGCCTCAGAATATCCCGGCGGCGCCGACTGGGATTGAACCCAGGCCTGCTTACCACAATACCACCGGCCCCGTTTTTTAATGTTACTTAGGACCTAATGGAATGTTCAGCTTGATTTGTTCGAAACATTTGAGCTTCATTTGAAATTCTCGAAGAAAGAAAAACAAAAATTTAGTACGTAATACATATGTTATGCTTTTTCTGCTTGTAATTGAATATGTTTTTTTTTTGTGAAATCATCACAAACACATCAAATCATCGAAATGCATCCGTTAGTTGGGCTAAGGTGGTGGCCAAACCAGAAAATTCCGACTGTATTATAGTTCACCAGCTGCTAGGAAAAATACCATTACGCCATACTCTGTTGAGCAGCTCCAGTGGCGCAGTCTTGACGGATAGATGAAGTTATCGGAGCATCGGATACCCTATAGAGGCGGGACATGTAGAGACACTACGTCCTATGCCGAGTGGGGCTTTGAGATATTTTTCCTACGAATTCTACCCGTGATTGACACTTGGCATCATTCGCTTTTTATTTCTTTTTGTTTGTTTTTAACTCTTTATTTGTTCTAAATTCAAAATAAATTACATTTCATTTTAACCTTGGTGCTGCCCCGTAACGTGGGTAGATCACCTTTTCGTGGTACGTTACGGGATGTTAGATCTACCACCGATAGTCTTGACTACTTCAAACTAGGGGAACAGGATTTTTCAGTAATCAAAGGAACAGACCTTAGTCCTTGTTACTTTTTATGCCTTGTTGATAGTGACAAGACTCGGCTTTGTCCACCGAGGATGATCTTGAAACAAGGAAAAAATGAGTTAGTTAGTCTTTATCTATGTGATTCCTAATCTTCTATTCGTTGTTCCCTAGTTTGAGGTGGTTAAGACTAGGGTTTGATGCATGGTCATTATCGGTGTCATAGCTTATTTTTGTTGCTAAGGAATATAATTTTGACTGACAAAGGGGCGCGCCTTTGGAGGGTTTCCAACACTCCGAAGGGTAAAAAATAGCGGGACCTTTCAATTAGAATCGATTCCTTCCGATGAAGGCAAGAATGACAACTGTATCAAAACCGAATACTTCATCATTTCTCAATAGTGATGGAGTAATACGATATGCACTAAAGTAAGGACACGGGATATACTACAATAGATCAAATTACTGGTCGCAGTGGTGTTTTGTCCCGAACAGAGGAAAAACAAACCTAGGTTCTCCAGTTACTACAGTAACTTACCAGCCTTAATTGTTATGATATATATCTAAGTATTTTAACATTGTTCCTGCCTTGGCATTTTAGTATTTTAAACAGGATTTTTAAACCTGCATGTCAGTATAGCAATTGATATCTTAAAACTAAAAACTAAAACTAAATCTTATCTAAGTATAAAGGGAATTAATCGTTGCAAATGAAGATTGCAACGATTTTTGCCTGAAATTAATAATTATTTTGTCGGACATTTGTTCTAAAGTCTCAACATTCGAAATTATATGTACTTCGGTAGTACTGTACCAGGGAGGCAACTTCAAAATCATCTTCAGAACTTTGTTCTGAATCCTTTGAAGTGCTTTTTTCCTGGTAGTGCAACAAGTAGAACATAAAGGACCATTATAAAAGGCTATTTCTCGCGTCACTTTTCAAATAGACCAATGTAACATATCCACCATTTTGAGAAAATCGAAGTTGAAGTTCGACAGATTATTATTTTAACTGTTTAAAAACAATACATTTTGCAATACTATTTTTAATGTAGTCAGTGTATAATAACGTTGAAAATTCAGAAGAAACGGTAAAATCACAATTTTACTTTGAATTTCATGCTACAACATAGAAAAAACCACATAGGACGGTTTGACAAGTCGAGTTGTACATCGGACATGTTACATTGGACGATTTTTCTCAATGACATAATCAATGAGTGTTACATTGGACGTTTTGTCTACATTATACTAGATTCCCTTTCTCAGATTTCAGAGTATAGTACCTAACTTTAGATTGGCCCCGCCTTTGGAAAATGAGCACCAATCATGTTGGCAGTCCGAATGACCGAAGTAACAATCATGTATCCATCATTTCAAACTGTACATTGGACAATTTTTGATCAATGATTATCTTAAATAAATGAAAGTAAATTTGGATGGATGTTTTTGTATCACATACAATGACAGAAGAGCAATAGTTTGTATCGCTTAACTCGATTTGTTTACATTTGTTACATTGGTCTATTTGAAAAGTGACGCGAGATTTGTGGCTTAAGCAGCTTGGTTGAAGGTAGTCTATAGAATTCTAAGCAGCCTCATTTTTAAGTCGTTATAAGAATTTGAATGTTCCGGTACCATAATTGAAGAGCATTCTAAGCAGCTTCTGGCGGAACTTGAACGGAACTTTTAGAAAATAAATTAAAAAAAGTTTTTGTCCTCTACGCCAAATTCTATATTTAGTCCGCACTTTTATGAAAGTTATTTCTAAAGGCAGGTATTAATGTGTATTGATTTATCAGCATTAGAAGTAGAATTGGAGCTGTTTGAAGAATTAAACCCAGTCCGTCTACTTGAGAGCCCCAGCACGAACCATTACGTCATCTGACATATATTAAAGTGAGCTGTTGTCCCGCCTACTGTTAGAGTTTTCAGTGCCCGCTGACTGACTTGAATACGAAACACAACACCTTGATGAATTTTAAAAAGGTGTATTCCAACACACTTGTGGTGCAGTGGTTAGCAATCGTAGATCGCATACCGAATACAAAAAAATATAAGAATTATGATTTATTCGGTCCACTGATCATTTCATATTTACGTACATTAAATTTTGTTACTAATAAAGACTTGTGCGGATTACTTCATGTGGCTTGAAAGTTCTGTCGGAACTTTATTTGAACTTTATGGAACTTGAAAGTTCTGTCAGATTTTTATTCACTTTATGGAACTTGAAAGTTCTGTTGGAACTTTATTTGAACTTTATGGAACTTGAAAGTTCAATCAAGACTTTATTCAAACTTTATAGAAATTGAAAGTCCTGTCGGAATTTTATTTGAACTTTATGGAACTTGCAGGTTTGCTCGGAACATTATTTGAACTTTATGGAACTTGGAAGTGATTTCAATAATTGAATGCGGAACTTTTGGTTACTTGGGATGTGTTTCCGAGAAAGTTCGCCAAATAAATTTGGGAGCTAACATTTCTGAACTGATCGAGAGGTCTATGGCTGATGATGAATCGACTGCTGAGTCAATCCGAGTGTGCGATCCATCGTTCAGGATAAACAGCTGTTCAGTCAGCGTTTTCTCGGCGATGAAGTGTCCAATGGCATTAGACGTTGCGGATAGTCTTTGATATTTTATTTTTGTTTTGTAGATTGTTATAGTCAACTTATAAAAAGCTTGTGCCGATATATGCTAACTGGCAATTTGATCTGTTGTATCTCAATTTCAATATTATAAAAAAATATAAATTCAAAGTATTTTTTCAATGAGAGAATATCATAAAATAAAAGAATTCTCGGGGAAAATTTCAGAAATTTCTAGTAAAAATACGTATTAGGTATGACGATTTAAAAAATAGTTATTGCACTATCCTGCCCAAGATGAAACCAGTTCTATTTGGTTTCGGAAACTTTTTTTCTGTTAGAACGACTATACTGCCTATAATCCCATATCAGTCCCATATGGAAAAAGTAGGTATTGAGAAAATGGCATTTGAAGTTAAGAAGTGCAATTTCCATGTAAATATTAAAAAAAATCATAGTAAATTAATCGATAAATGTCAAGTTAAAATCAGTAGCAATGCAGCTGGGATATCAGCGAAAAATATGGCGATTTAAAAAGTAAAACTGTAACGTAGCCTCTGGACGATTTAATTTCAGGATGGGACTGATATGCAACTACTTTGCTTGATGGGACAAACTGACTTCATGTTGTTTTCAAATTTTTAATTATAAAAATCGATAGTTTTATCGCATAATATGAAAGTAGATGCCAATTGACAGTGGATAGCGTTGTTATCTCAAAAATAACGAAAATCCATATGGGACTAGGGTTACCATATGGTATCCTAAAGGCGAACATGTCCTCCTTTTTCAATATTTTTTCTACATCCTCCTTTTGCCCGAAAATGTCGTCCGTTTTAGTCCTTGAATTTTTTCCAGTAACATATTGTTGTAGGGCTTGTTTGTTTAATTATGTCGCAACCTCATCTTATCTAGCAAATGCCATTCGATAGTGGGACCAGCAGTACTGCTTGTAGTATACTTATACTACAACTGCCAACAGCCCTACATTTAGTCTCTGGCATATTTGGTGAATTATCACTTAAATTTTTTTCAGATGGAAAATTTTCAAATAAACCTTCCATTCTACCAGACTTATTTCTGACATACTATGAATCATTTTTTACAAACTATTTCTCAAAAATCGGACGATCAACAACAGAAGGATTTTTGAACATTATAATTTATTTACGAAGAGTCAAATTCAAGTGAAAATTTTCCAAATGGAACACAGCCTTAGACTGTAAATCGATTGGGGAATTTTCACTAATGTTGACATTTCGAAAATATCTTATACTAATTGATGGATCAATTTTCGAGAAGGTGTTTGTCCAAATGGATTACTTGTCGGTCAGAAATAATTTTGGTGCAAGACCAGGTTTATTTGAAAATTTACAATCTTTAAAATGTAAGTGGAAATTCACCAAATGGAACACTTTAGATTGAATCCAACATGTGTTTGATTTCGACATTCTGGTTCTATGGGATTTTAGGTTTCGGTTTAAAATGCTATGCTGAATCAATGGTAAAATTAATAAGTAGCTTATAAGTTCCTTTTTCATATTGGTTTCAATCCTGATGTATCCTGATTTCTGTACATGATAAAATTTGGGATGGTTTTGAGGCTGTAGTTTACATGCAAAACAGATAAACTAGACATTTCCAAGTATCAACAATGAAGGCTAGTTTGAAGCATATTTTAAAAGTATAACGAGAAGATGAATTGAATTGATAACGACTACTACCTATTAACAATCTCAATTGAACCTTTGGAAATCATTTGTTTTGTGATAGCGCACGTTTGATAAAAACTCATTGTCATCCTTTAATGTTAAGAAAAGGGAACATTGTCCTCCTTTATCTCCAAACCTCAAATCAAATGTCCTCCTTTCACTGACTGATATGCGATTAGAGCCAATATATTTGATCAAGTTGCTTCTGCGCGAACAGGAGTTGTTGAATTTTGATACATTTTTACGTTTTTATCCCCATAATCCCCATAATCTTGCAGAACTAAACTTGGGTAGTGGATTGAAAAAAAATGTAATATGCATTCAATATTTTGAGATATCGGATTTAAATTTTTACAATAATATTGTAACTAATATATCGATATCAAACTATCGAATATCGAAAGAAAAAGATCGGAAATATTGGAACGTTCCTACCCATTTCTTACTCGGAAAAGTGCATGCGTTTAATGATCTTATCGTTTACTAAATTCACACTTACCAATAATGGAAGCACCCTGATCACGTGCTGCGCCGGTCAAGCTTTGAACACGTTGTAACAGGCTTTCTCGCGATTTTGCTGGACTAGATGGTGCGCTAGTTCCACGTTGGGTGGGTCCTTTTCCGAAACTCAGTGACAGTTCAGGCCCCCCGGTTGGGGGAGCCGATCCAGGAACCGGTCCTGGTGAGACAGACGCTCCCGGTGCCGGTGGAGGAGGAATATTGGGCGGACCACCGGGCATCGGTTGCTGTTGTAAAGGAGGTTGTGGTCGTGCTGCTGGTGGTAAATCTTTGGGATCGACATCATCACACTCAGAAGACAAGTCTCCCGAGCTGAATCTACCAGGTAAAAATTCACTATAGAATAACATAGTGCAAACGGAATAGAAGGGTTGGATAGAAAATGGTGGATCAATATTATCAGATTACACGTTTCACATCACATCGATCATGTTGGGGTTTAAAATTTGAGCAATACATGAAAATATAGAAAATGCATTTGAAAATTAGTACGTATGCGATTGATTCAATCGCTTTAAGCAAAACCAAAACCATACTTGATAGTAACAGTCGAAGTCGTGCTTGGAAGAGCTGTGCCCTGTATTGTATCAATTTTATATTATCTTTTTCAAGCCAAATTTTGTATTTACAATTCTAAAATCAAATTGACCAGCCCTTACGTGAGGCACTTCTTCTCGGATAAGGAAATGCAAGAGTGGTGTTGGAAATTTGAGATGTCAAAGCTCGTAGAAAACTGAAACGATAACTTAAACTGCATGCCGATGGTATGACGTGTAATTTGTGAATCGTGGGAGATCAACGGATGGGGGAAGGGTTAATTAAAGGGGGGAGGGTTGAATGCGTGTAGTCTTAGTCTAAGGAGAATTTATGCAGGACGAAGACAAGGAAGGACTTACAGACACTTACCGTCGCTTCAGGAAATTAACATTGCTGGTGAAGCTACTTTTGAAGCTTGCGAAAGACAGTGTGCCGGCTTGTGGATCCTGCTAAAGGAGAAAGGTAGAAAGAGAAAAAAGGAGAAAGTCATTGCCTGGAGGGTTTCCACTTTAAAGTTTCAGGATTATGTACGAGAAGTTAGAAGAAGAAGATACACACAGAAAAATGAGACAAAAAACAATGCTATTTAGAGATGCTGTAACATTGCGCCCAATCGTTGCTTTTGATACCTACTGTAATTTGATTTTTTTTATGAATGATTTAAGCTTATTTCAACTAAAGATAAGCATTGTAAATATAATTTCCCTGCCATTATAAAATTAAAGTATTAAATAACAAAAACAAATGACTGAAATTTTCCAAATTGATATTAAAAATTTTCTTATAATACATCCAACCTTTTATATTAATCCTTCATGAAAACCATTTCAAGGGAAAGTTAGCACAATATTCCAGGGGAAGTTGAAAAAAAAATGGCGGGAGACAGATGAACCTTTCGAGCAAAGCCAGAAGAGGCTCCCGAGGAAAATCGAAATAACTTACCAGGAGGAATTGGGAAATGACTTACGGGCAAAGGTAGAAGAAAATTCTAGGGGAAAGCTTTAAGAAACTTCTAAGGAAAGATTAAATAAACTTCAGAAAGTTAAGAAATAACATTCTGATGGAGCTTTTTGGTGACATAAAAGACACAAATATTTTCCGATTCCCATGAATTTCCAAGATGAAGCATTAGCTGTTTCTTGATTTTTGGGAAGCCAAACACGGTGAGGAAATGGAAACACATACATTAAGTAAGTTACGTCACCTTTCACCTCCAATTATGCAAAGGGAGGACCAAAGTGAAACTATCATATGAAACATTTGCACCTCCTATTCTGCGGAGGGAGAACTAAGGTGAAAATATCATATGACAAATTGTCATCTCCAATTATGCAAAGGGAGGACCATGGTAAAAATATCAAATGCCAAAGTGTCACCTCCATTTATGCAAAGGGGGACCAAGGTGAAAATATCATATGAAAAATAGACACCTCCGATTATTCAAAGGCCCCCCCCCCCTCGGTGAAAGGTGAAAATATCATGTGAAAAATGTTCACCGCCAATTATGCAAAGGCGGTGACCATTTTGCATATGATATTTTCACCTGATCCTCCCTTTGCATAATTGGCATAATATTATAAATTTAACAACAACGCTTATATCATCACAGCAAACACAGACTCGTTGATCATTGTCATGACAATCACGTTTTTTTTTAACATTTGAACAACTGCAACCAATGTAAGTGAAAATCGATAATTTCTTATACTAATTCACCGAAATCTCCCATTTTGAGGTTTTGAATCGAACTGGAGGGTGGCATATGAGAAATTAATCACTTTTTTGTTTTTTTTTTTCAAAATGAAGCACATTTTTTCGTCGAGTGAGATGTGAATTTTGTAACGAAAATCGTTCAATTTTACACAAACAATATTATTTACAAGTTTTTAAAAAATCGTAAAAAGTTTCAGGAGAGCATAAGACATTTTATTTGTTAGAAATTTATGTGTAAAAAGTAAATAAACGGAAAACGCTTGTTGGAAAAATACTACGGTCAATGACAGCTAGTATCGAACGTCATTATGATTTGCAGAGAAAATGTGTGTTATGAGTGCGCATTGCAATGCAGTCTATATTACCTAATATCAGCTATGGTCTGAACATAGTATTGGGGGTAATCCTAATCTACTTTTTAAAAACCTGTATACCATCAGGCATTGTGCCGATCTTTATCAAATACAGGGTGTTTCAGAATAACTGTAACCGATTTTACAAATATGAGGGATTTGAAATAAAGCATGCTAAGTTGAAGGTTATATATATAGTATTGGAATATATTGATATCAAAAAATCATGCAAGCTATCAATCGTTATGACAATTTTTAAAAGTGATAGTTATTCCGAATCAGCCTGTAATTAAAAAGGTAATACTTAGAGCCAGGGGTCCGATGAAAATCGAGCGACTCCAACTCATCTGACTCCGACTCCGACTCCGACTCCGACTCCGATTCAAACAAAATTCAATTATTTAAAAAAAAAATCAAACATTTAAAAAAAAACTTCTCGTTTACTGATTTAAATATTTACTGTATTATTATTAATTGAAACAATGAGATTACAAATAAATCCAGTAATCCATCTTGCCGTAGGGTTGCAAATGGGAAACCCAGCAAAAAGACTGTTATGCTGTAAATGAGAGAACCACACACTCTTTGTCGAGTGTTGTGAGATGCATGCATAAAGTTGCTTTGCTAACGCTCTGAGGTGTTTTCCAGCCCTGATTAGTACCGTAAATTGGGGTATCTTTGATAAAGCGGGTAACTTTGATAGTATAATGTAAAGATTAAATTTACTCGCTGCGCTTTTTTCCAAATTAGAAACATTGGATCCATATTGCAGCTTTGGGTATTTCCGTTGATATCGTATATAGTTTTTATATAGTATGTGTTAAATATTTTACAAACATATTAAAAATCAATTTATGTGTTTTTCGCCTGATTGAAAAAAACACTCAAACCATCACTTAGAAAAAGTATTTCCGATATAGCCATCACAAATTCAATGTTGTATTCTTATTGCTTATGATGTTTTCTGATTATATACTCATTCAAAGTTTCATATTTAAAGAACTAAATTGTTTAAGTTTCACCCATTTTTTCTACATTCATCGAGCATTATCAAAGTAACCCTAAATAAAAAAAAAACTGAAGTTCGGTCACAAAACTAAAAAATAGTGCAAATGCTTTAATTTCCGTTAAACATATTACTAACGAATTGACTCTTGGATCCTCAGTACTTGTTTAAAAAAATGAAATTGGAAAAACATTCATTGATGTAAAAATAATTTAGAATATAATTTAAAAAAACAATCAATAATCACTAGATTCATACAAAATTTGAAATTTTTGCTTCACATTGCTCAAACGGTCCTGATTAGCCTCCTAAAATTTAAACTCATTTGGTAAGAAACTGACTTGGCACAAACCATTTGAAGTTCATATGGGAATTACTATGGGAAAACTTAACTTTTTGTTTATTGTCTTCTAACCATTTTCCATATTGCACTGTTGAAATGTTATGGAAAATTTTCTAAGCTACAACTTTGCGGAATATCGTTTTTCAGCCAAATGTCAAATTAAGTAATCATTAATTGTTTGAGAGATTGATAATCTTATGGCATGATCAAGCAGCTGTTGTGTGGACAACACTGTATTCTGCAGAGTGACATAGTAGCCATAATTTTTGTGCTCTTATTCTATGCGCCAGAAACACCAATATGTTGTCTGCTGAACAGTTGCATAATCATCAATCAGTTGCATCTGTGACTTGAATCAATTATAACTTTTGTTCCTTACATTTGACTGAAAAGCGGTTTTGAACACAGTTGTAGCTGAGAAAATTAACTACAAGCACAGTTATCATTTTTTAAAGCAGAGTGATCTGGCGAATTTAGATAGATATCAACAAATACATAAGTTTTCCCATAGTAATTCCCATATAAACTTGAAATGGTTTGTGCCAAGTCAGTTTCTCACTAAAAGAGTTCAAATTTTGGGAGCCTAATCAGAACCCAATTTGGAACCGTGGAACGAAAATTTAAAATTTTACATCTGTCTAATAATCACTTGATAGTATTTTTTCGTTTCTTTCAGAATATGCCATTTTTTAAAACAAATCTTTAAATACCCCATAATGGTGTGAAGAACATAAAAAACCACATGTTTGTACCTAGATATTACCAGAATATATTGGTTTTCCACAATAAATGCAAGAGGTTCAAAATTTGACCGATACGTCCGTCATATTCGGCTCCATTTATGATTGTTTAGAGTAAATAAATGCGTTTTTGACATTTGTGAATGATTACATGCGTATGGGACACTACTTTAACTTTTGCCAGCTTTGATGACATATCAAGAGTCTGATACTCCTAAAATCATCTTCAGGATAAACGAAATCATGCCCAGAAATAAAAACCCCTTCACTATTGAATTTTTCTCTTTATTCGGCCCCAAAGTTGTTACAAATGTTATAATATATCAAACCCGAAACAAACCTTTGCCTACAATTTTTCGAAAATATGTGTTGCCCAATTTTTGTGATTTTTTTGAGGGAGAGTCTGGCTCTAAAAGACCTTCCAAACAAGTGCCAAAACAATGAGTTTTATTTTGCACGACCGTCGTAAACCTCAAAACGAAATTGTGCCCCTTTCGAATGTTTGTCCCAAAAAATTGTTCTAAGGCTTATGCTTGAAACCATAATTGATTTTTTCTTTATTTTATGCAAACAAGCAAACAGATTCAAAGATATCCATGTTCGCTGATGATACTAGTTCGATGAAAATGCCGAGCCAAAAATTCCAGTGATTTTCAGGAATATATTGCAACCCAAATTGACACGGTAATTTCACTGGATTTTCTTAAGAAAACACTTCGCTGAATGCATTAAAACTATTCATTAGGCTTTCAGCTTCAATTTGATTATATGTTTACCACTGAGAAAAAGCAATCTAGCAAGGTTTTCTTGAAATGAAACACACGCACTACAAAATGCTGCTGATTTCGAGTTGCCGATGAAAACACAGCTGTTTAACACGCAGCTCAAATAGAAAGGTTGCCGAATAAAAAGAGGTTGCCCACAATAGTCGCTCTCACTAGAGAAGATTGGAGCATTGTAAAAGCGTTTCAAAACAGTTTTTGATAATTCTTTCGACTGAAATTGTTAGAGCAGCTGGCAGCAAAGGATTGTAAATAAACCAATACTGCATATGTGTGCGTTCCTTAGAGAAAAAGGCTATAGAAAGACGGTCGCTGCTTAGGTTGCAGAGAATACGTAAATTCCCCTACCTAATGAAGATAGGTATAATATAGGTATAATATATATATATATATATATATATATATATATATATATATATATATATATATATATATATTGGAACGTTCTTCACCTGTTCCATTCAGTTCATCTCTCTTAGCGTTTCAAGTTAAAAAGCAAGTAGTTTTTTACGATGGATAACAATTTCAAGTGTTGTAAACCTCTACCTAAATCAAAAAAGTGTTGTTCAGATACAAGAAACTTGTCAGATGGAGTAATAGAAAAATTAAAATGTTTTGGCTGTAAAATACCTCTGGATAGTCCTTTGAAAATTTGTAGTAGATGTCGTCTTCAAGTTTACCGTTTGCCATCAAAGAAAACGCCTTCGAATGACGGAATGCAGCAAGATCTGGAACAACCTTCTACCAGTGGTGTACGCTCAACAGCACCCATAGATATAGAGAGTGAACCCATTGTGAATATCATCCCATCGGTTACGTCTCAGGCTTCATCGACTTCAGCAGATTCTGTTGTTAATAGAATCAGTTTGTCCCATAATATTGAGACATTCAACCAAGGCATCATGGGTATCCATGTATCACCGATTACGACAAAGAGGCTGAGAAGCGCGTGTTATCCTCAACAGAAAATCAAAGAAATCATGGATGGGGTTAAGCGACACATATTCGATCTTTCGGAAGATGATGACCAAGGAATCCTCAACGCCAAGGCTAAGGATTACGATGAAATGATGAGCCAACTAAAGGAAAAATACGCAGATCCGGAATGCACTCGAGAAGAAAAGACACAAGTATTATCCGTATTACCGAAATCTTGGCCTGTACAAAGAATCATGGATGAATTCGGTGTCAACAGATATACTTCAAACAAAAATGTCATTTTGTTATGTTTGTACGGAAGAATACAAAAAGGCTGACACGGAATTTGATCCAATTTTTAAGAAAGTGAAACCAATTCCTGGAACTCGAAAATATCATTGCTATATTCCAGTTTCAAACAACCAAATTGCAGTAAAAATATTCTCTAATTCAAACGATACACCCAAATTATTCAATGTATTCAAATAATATGAGTTGTAAAATAAAATAATAAATATATACTGTTTCTTATCTCAACAAATCTTTCATTTGACCACATCAACGTGCTTCTCTTCCGCTGCCTCTAGATAGAAACGGTAAGTCTGACAGCTACCATATCTGAGAATGAATTGTTTGTTTTTTAATATACAATCATGAAAAAAAATCTCGTTGCTGGACATCTCGACGAACATTTGAAAATGGCCTTAAATTTTGCAAATTGTTATAATTATATTTTTTTAATTCGCATTAACTTGAGAACGGCTGGACTTAGGAAAAAAGTTTCTATATGCAAAGTTATCGAAAATTATGCGTAAAATCCAAATAAATTATTATTTTACTAAAAAATATGCATTTTCATCAACTTGTAAAAATCAACAAAAGTTTAAAAAATTATAGATTTCTTTTTAAGAAAGTTACCAGCATACACTTTTCACGAAATTTAAGGGTATTCCATCAATTTTCTTGAAAAAAAAATTATAAAGATCGAAGGGGGGATGTTTTGAGATAATCATCGTTTTACGTTTTTTAAATACTAATTTACGAAGTTTTTTCTTTCAATGTAATTTTTCCGCAAAGATAATTTAATTACCTAAAACTTTTTCTCATATGCCATTTTCATCAGATCAATTGTTTTCAAGTTATGGTTTTTTGCAAAAAATTAATCCATTTTTTTATACGCCCTTTTCAAAAGTTACTCTGGAGGAAAAAATCATATTTAAATGAAAAATGCAACCATTAGTAGCAGCGAACACGTGAGCAATGTTTCATTCAAATCAGAAGGGGTCGAGACAAAATTGACATTTTTTTTTAACGATTTGAGCTGGAAATGCTCTCCATTAGACTTTATTTTTACCACCTTGAAAATTCATAATAACTTCTTGGGTTGGTGGAAAAATAAAATTCTGTTTGAGGATACCTGAAACCTCACAATTATCACACATTTGATCACGGAATGTGTGTAAAAATTATTAATCAAATAAAAATCATAAAAAGGGTATTAACGCGCCCTTGCTCTCAAAACTGCTTTTTCTGGCTTATTTAAGAAAAACGTACTTTTGGTCATGTCAGAGGCTCGAGAGAATTTTGAAATAATCCTATGAAATGTCCCTGAGTCCCACATCTTACAAATACTGCAAGTCATCAAAGTGGAATGAAGTCTCTTCAAATTTTTCAAAATGCGTTTTTAGACATCTCTCAGAAAAAAAACGCAGTTCTGGGAAGGCATTCATAATTTTTTCGCAAATATATATCCAGAATCAAAACAGGGGATTAAGTTTGTCCACTCTCCCCTATAGTTTAGACGTTTCTTGTTAGTTTTCGTGATAAGCCATTCGATTTCAATCGAAATGGTCATAAGTCAAAAAAATTGCACGTGGACCAAATTCTAGTTCTAGTTACGATAAAGCGTAAAGCAAAAGACGTTTGTAAAAGGGTTAAATTTTGTTTTCCTCTTCAATATTAATTCTTTGGCTTTGGAACTCACCAATAACAAGGACCACCCTATTGTCAATTTCAAAATACTGGCTGAAAAAATGGAAAAACTTTCACGAAGACACCAATTACCTAAAAAGAAAGGTTTAAGCACAAATATTGCTGTCTTCCTAAATACAACTTTGAGACTATAGAGTTAGACTGGCCTAAATTTATATGGGAGATTTTTTAATAATTTTTTCAACAGCCCAATCCCCATATTTGTGCCATTAGGTGAGAAAATCACTCCGTGAAAATTTCAACTGCTTTGATTTAAAATTTATATGGGGATATTGGTTGAAATGTATAGAGAAATAATATTCCTTCACTCTTTCATGCATAGAACTAGTTCAGCAAACGCGATTAAGCTCAGAATTTCAGCACACGTAGCTTAAACTATAAAGAGCAACTTTGACTCAAGACAGCATCACGATTCATGTTAGTATTATGGAGATATTAATTATCTTACTTATATGTATGTACATTTTGTTTGAATATTGCAACAAAATATAGGCAGCTTATGCAACGTATCAACTAGATTACCACTAAAAAATAGAAGTTCATATTTTCCAGACACGTGTCATTAGGTGAGATAACTGTTCTCGAATGTTTCGGGCTGGTGATTTTTGTTTAAAGTTTATATATTTTAATTTATGTTTTTTTTTCTTTTTATTTATGTATTAATTAATTAATTAATTAATTCATTAATTAATTAATTAATTAATTAATTAATTAATTAATTAATTTATTTATTTATTCAGAAAATGGTTTTCTCGCCTAAAGACACAAATCTAGAGGAAAATTAGAACTTTTATTTTTGTAGGCCAGTCTACTAGATTTTGGCACACACTACTGAACCATCTAAATCGAAGTAGGGGAAATGTTGACTTCGGCAATACCTTAACCTATCATCGTCAGGTGGTAATTGGGCTATTGGCCAAATTTGAGTACTCTAGAACTTTGTTTACCCCCTGACGATAATAGGTTAAGGTATTGCCGAAGCCAAAATTTTCCCTATGTAGTGCGAGCTAGAGGGAAATAGATTAGTGGGAAAACAATGAGTCCATTCATCTTCGTGTGCTAGATAGAAAAAGACGATTTAACGTCAAAAAGCTCTATTGTGCTAGGTGTTTCCTCTATCTAAGGTAAGTGCTAATTTTATTTTCAAAAGTAAAGAAATGTCGTTGCGTTAGTCAAACATAGCATTAAATTAAAATTAAAATAGTATTTAAGCAAAAAACACGAGAATGAAAAGAAATAAATATGTTGGATCAGATTAACCGCGAGAATGCATTTAAATTTTAACCCAGCTTGCTACCAATCAGATTAAAGGACACATGCAATGTGGAGCAGATTTCCATTTTCATTGTTGCTTTTCCATTATTTTTTTCTTTAAGCTATGAAAACCATGCTACAGGCTTTGAAAGCGAATCATGAGACAAATGATTTTTATTGTGTCTTATTGTGTTACGCTCTGTGCCATTTTTGCTCATGAGGTTATGTGCTGTGTGGGTGATACTTTATAAAAAGGGTACTTCTTATATTGAGAATAAAAGAATAGAGCAATTAAGAGCACAAAGGTTGCGACACCGGAGTATCCTTAATGATAATAGCTTGTAGCTTGAAGGCATAAAGAGAAGAAAACTCTAGATAGTGAATATGTAAATGATGTAACAGAAAATGTAGAAAACGCATAACAGTAGAATCAAGAAGAGATGTGCATGTAATGTGGAAAATTACCTTTGGCGGGGCGCAGATTCGCCCGCACCCAGCGTCAGATATGGCGCTAATATTGAACGAGAAGAAAAGTTTGAAATCAACTTCACCACGCTCTGGATGAGCAGTTGCCTTTTTACTGAGGTTTCGCTACTCGTTCTCTTTACTTTTAATCTAACCGATATTTCGTGTGCTTCAACTAGCTTTTTGTCGTAGTTGTTGCTGATGTAGCTGATGTATTTTTGTGTGTATTTTTCTACTTCCGGTTACTATCGATCTCAAGGAAGAGATAGTGATGAGGGCATAGAATGAAGGTGACTATTTAGCAACACAAAAAGGGTTGTATGCGTTCGGTATTGAGCCAATCTGAATCTGACTAGTCAAAGTTTTCCAGGAAATGAGATGAACATGTGAAACGGAAAAAGAAAGACGAACAATGTTAACTAAAACCTTGAAATCTAGGTAATTTCTACAACTAATTCACCCTTGAATAGAAGGTCGGTTTTCACGCACGTAACAACGCCAGAACGGTTCTTATGCTTTCTGTTCTGTTGCTTGGTTCGATCTGATTAGTGCACCAATTATGGAACGAATTATTGGTATTGTAGCCACACCACACTTAGCACTTGTTTCCGCTTCGTGGAAATCAAAATTAGCACTTTCACTAGCCCTGACACAGCCACACTATTATCCTTTTCTTTTGATAAATCAGAGTTTATTCCACAACGTTCTGTTAGTGAGACAGCAATCTGAAAAGAGAAAAGGATAAAACAAATCAGTTATATGGTACTGTAATACTAATTAATTGTTACAATTGAGTGACATAGTATATTTTGACTAATTCTAGTCACTTCCAAAAGCCTGCGGCGTATTCTCCAATAGACTTTTCTAGGAATCATGCAATCATCTTCCCTAAATTGGTGCTTATTTGGCTGCAATCAGGAACTGAACTGGCACTATGTAGTTTTATCGGAGCTGTGAACACCGAGTTTAGAGCAGGCAAAATTTTTCAGAAATCCAGATTATTTTTCTTTAGCAATCGTTCTAACTGGAACTTAACGCCTACTCTCAACTTTTATTTTTTTGAACACTTCCACTGTTGGTTATTAAGAGAACTGAGAAAATCCACATAATTCCGAAAATTAAAAGAATTTTATGTTTTACCGCTCAGAATTACATGAAACATTGCATATTTGTTCGCTATGAATAACATCAAATTTGTGCTGGAATTCGGTTATTTTTTTTCGCATATTTTTATGACTAATTTAAAAAAGCCGCATTCTGTATTTATTAATAAATCTCAACGAAAATGGCTCTTCTAATTTAAATGACGCTTGAGACAAAGTTCAGGAATCTAGAATGCCTTTTCAGCAAAAAAAAAATTTAAATACACGCAATTCCAATAAAAAACTGAACTTATTTGACAGTTATTTATTTATTTTTGACTAAACATCAACAGGCGTCATTGACCCCAATGATGTAACCTTAAATAAACATGAAAAGTACTAAATCTAAACATAACTTATTTATGTTGTCTCGTAATAAAAGGAACATTATTAGACAAACTAAACTGATCTAGAAAAAAACGAACTAAACCTCCGGGGAAGCACCTGGCGAGTCAGGTCAAAGTCAAATAGTGCGGAGACCCTATTGAAGTTATGTTTTGCTTCTGAATGTTCCACACATATTTTTTCTACGAAGCTCATTTAATTCTCTTAGACACAATTTCAAAATATCTACGATATTTAGGTTATGATTTTTTGAAAAATATATTTAAAATAAAATGCACACGCCCTTTAAAAAGATAAGACTTGATTCAAAATAGTATCTTGTCCTGTGAAAATACATTATCTCCCATACTGAAGACATGTGAAAAGTTTCGTCCAAATCGGAGAGGGTCGAGCTAGGTCGTTTGCTTATTAACCTTTAAATGCTCTAGGGCAAAATCCTGGTGAGCAACCTAGATTGTGATACCTAAACAATTCAAGTATAATAAAGAAAAAAGGATTTCCTTGTAAGCACACATGCCAAACACAGCAGGATGAAAGAGCTATTACACTATACAACACGAGTTTCTTGGGTAGAACAATTTGGCTATATGTATTTGACTTTCTTATGATCCTTTGAGTTATTGTCTGGAATATAATTGGGGACAGTTTGGAGAGGTATTAGACTCCCCTCCCCCTGTGTGACAAGTATATATATATATGTTTTTTTAATTTGTATGATTCATGGACATTTGCCAACCTCCCTCCTCCCCCTAAAGTGTCCATATACCACGTGGGTACTTTAGTGGCTGCAGAGGGGGTTGGCAAATGTCCACGTTTCATACAAATTAAAACAGAATGATGGATGATTGTCAAGTGTCCCATAATTTCACCGATTGCACAATATGTGGAGGTAGCAGCCAGGATATTCTACATGTTATGAGTTGATCTTTCCTGTTTATTGTGTTCTCAAGTTGTTTTGTAGTAATTGGTCCCCAAACCTGTGACTGATTTACGCGAAATAAGATTGCTGTACGTTTAATGCCATATTCTTAGTGTTTTGGGGACATCTGTTAGTTTTATAAATATATTGTGGTTTGGTGTAGCAGTCATAATAAAACAGCGTTGATGTATTGCTATTCCCACTAACGCTACTGTCCTTGGTTCGGACCATTTTCTGGGCATTATAATTGATTTACAATTATCAATGCTCTATCCGGAACCTCTTCCGAGATAAGCTGAATCTTGATTCGCTTGCTTAATAGAATTCACAAAAACTAGCAGCATAAACACTGGAGCAGGAGAAAATAACTTATGAATACCAAATTCAGGTTGATAACAGCATAACAGGAAACCTAAATATGGTATCGACATAAAAATACAATTGACACCGTCTTCAACCAGAGGTTGCAAAAACTAAACATTCAACACTAGACAACGGACAACACTCAACATAAACAACGTAAACCAGTAGGGAAATTCCCTGGTTGCGATAAGTTCCACCGGCTGGAGCGGAAATCGAACCACGACCACAAAGCCAATAACCCGAGCAAGAACCGAAAACTCACCGATAACATATGAATTTCTTAATCTGGTATGATATCTTATTTTGGTATGCTTGTGGTATAAAACCGTGTTTTAGTATTATACAGCTACCGAAATATTTTGTAAAATATCAAATAAATATCAAAGTAACAAAACGTAATCAAAGCAAGAGAAAAGAACTAATGAATACCTTATTCTGATCTGATACCAAAATACTAAGCTGAATATCTCGATACCTCAAATTGGTATGGATGAGCCTGACATAAAAGGTAAAATACCAAAAAATAATACATTTGGAGGTATTATTTTTGGTATTTTACCTCTTATGTCAGCCTCACTAATACCATGTTTAGGTTGTCATTTAAGCTATTTTCATACCAGAATTTGGTATTTTTTTTTTGTTAATTACTTTATTTGTACAGGCTCAATCGAATAAACTTTACAGAGCCAAGTTATCATTTTCTTTATACATTATAAATGTCTTAAATCTAAAATTAAAGGATTGGAACCGATTACTCGCGGTCTTCTCGAGGTTAGTGGATGACAATTGTTTGGATTGGGAGAGGGAAAAGGAGATTTGGAATATGATTTATGATTAAAAAATTTCACTATTTCTAAAACATATACTTAATCCTATCGACGTTATATCAACTCTGTAATTATACAATTATTACAGAAACAAATCTACAAAAAAAAAATACACACACACATACAAAACACAAACTAAACACAAGGTTAATCAAACTTACAATCTATGGTTAATATTCTTCAAGAAAACATATATGAGTTGCATAAACTCCAGATCGCGTCTAGCCAAAATATCCCGAACTGGAACATTAGGTTGTCTACCTCGAGCCCGAAGGGAATCGTACAACTCGGATCTGACTCCACGGTGCTCAGCACATGACCAAATAATGTGATCTGCGTCCTGGTAACCTTGTCCACATTCACAGAGATTACTGTCCCTCAGCTCAACACGGAACAAGTGAGCGTTTAACGAGTAGTGATTGGACATGAGGCGAGACATCATACGAATGAAGTCTCGACCCACATCCAACCCCTTGAACCAAGGACACTTCGACACCTTAGGGATGATTGAATATAACCATCGTCCCAAACTCCCTTCACTCCATTTATTTTGCCAGCTGGCGAGGGACTGTTGACGATAAATGAAGAAAAATTCGTCGTAGGCGATTTGTCGATCGTAAATATCGCCTTCCATAGCGCCCACCTTTGCAAGCGAGTCCGCCTTCTCATTGCCCGGAATCGAGCAATGAGATGGGACCCATGCAAAGGTGATGACAAAAGATCTTAAAGATAAAGCACTTAGAAGCTCTCGTATTTTCATGAGAAATACGAGGAGTGCTTTACAGGCCTCATGGAGCGAATAGCCTCGACAGAACTGAGACTATCCGTAAAAATAAAATAATGATCTGGTGCAAGTGAGGCGATCGTTTCTAAAGGGTGATACGGTCAAAATTTGGTCAAGGGAAAACGCGTGTAAATCGGTGAAATCGTTTATTTAAAAAATCAAATTAAATTTCTTTTTCAAGTTCAATTAGTATAAAATTCAGGAAAAATATTCAGTTAGGCTTCCGCTTTTCCAAATCCGAATTGCCGGGCCTTACGCTTGACCCCTGCCATCAGATTTTGTACAGCCACCTTGTCCACCTTCTTCGCCGCAGAAAGCCAGTTTGCCTTGAACTGCTGCTCGCCCTTAGCAGTTTTTTTGGTCTTCTTTAGGTTCCGCTTGACAATAGCCCAGTATTTCTCAATTGGGCGGAGCTCTGGCGTGTTGGGAGGGTTCTTGTCCTTGGGAACCACCTGCACGTTGTTGGTGGCGTACCACTCCATGGCCTTTTTACTGTAATGGCAAGATGCCAAATCCGGCCAAAACAGTACGGAACAACCGTGTTTCTTCAGGAAAGGCAGCAGACGTTTATTCAAACACTCTTTCACGTAAATTTCTTGGTTGACAGTCCCGGAAGCTATGAAAATGCTGCTTTTCAAGCCACAGGTACAGATGGCTTGCCAAACCAGATATTTCTTTGCGAACTTTGACAGTTTCATGTGCTTGAAAACATCTGCTACCTTTCCCCTTCCTTTTGCCGTATAAAACTCTTGTCCCGGAAGCTGCTTGTAGTCGGCTTTGACGTAGGTTTCGTCGTCCATTACCACGCAGTCAAACTTCGTCAGCATCGTCGTGTACAGCCTCCGGGATCGCGCTTTGGCCGTCGTATTTTGTTTATCATCGCGATTTGGAGTCACTACCTTCTTGTAAGTCGATAGTCCGGCTCGTTTTTTGGCTCGATGCACGGTTGTAGACGATACACCCAGCTTATTTGCGGCATCTCGGAGAGAGAGGTTAGGGTTTCGCTTGAAACTACCGGCAACTCTCTTTGTCGTCTCAGCGGCTTCCGGTTTTCGATTTCCCCCCGATCCAGACTTCCTGGCTGTCGACAAACGTTCCCCAAACACTTTAATTACATTTGTAACGGTTGATTTGGCAACTTTTAGCGATTTTGCCAACTTTGCGTGCGAGTAGCTCGGATTTTCGCGATGCGCGAGCAAAATTTTGATGCACTGCTCTTCTTGCTTGGACGGCATTTTGACAACTGAAGAGTGAATTTCAAAATCAAAATAGGAGCAACATTCTACACACACACACCTTCAAAATGAGGGGTGTTCAGGTTTTTTAAATGCAAAATTGAAAGAAA